ACAGTTCCAGAATTGAATGAACAATTATATAGATATGATAATGGTTCAGACAGTATAGATCCTAGTAGCCAAAGTAACTTAGTTGGAATACTAAATGGCCCAGTAGATTTGTTATTACATAAATGATCAATCTCTTGTTCAACTTCCAATGGATTAGTTGGATAAAGAGCAAAGCTATGTGAAGTAGGTGATTTTAAATATTTATCAAATGATAAATTTAGTAAAGGTATAGACTTAGCAAGATTAGATCCAATGTTAGCAAAATAAAAATTAAAAGCATTAGCAATGTCAATGGTGTTTGTTACTTTTTGGGAACCTATTCCCACTATAGTTGGAACATTAGATTTATTTTTGTTAAATGTTATTAATTGTTTAATCCCTTGCCAGGTTTTCTTAATGTTGTTAGAATTATATTCAAAGTAATTAGAGTAATGGGCCTTTTTACTTAGTAATATCAGATGTTTCAACTTATTTCTATATGATTTATATTTAGAAAAATAGTAAGCATTTTTTGACTTCAAATACAACTTGTAGAATTTGTTCTTTCTTTTTATAGAAACTCGAATACCTTTTGTAATCCACGGTTTAGATAATAATTTCGCTTTTCTTTTGGATAATTTTGCTTTTCTTTTGGATAATTTTTTTAAAGGGACATGTTTATCGACTAAAGCAGATAGTGTATCAAAAAAAGAGCTGAAAATTAAATCTACATCATCAGTATCACCAAAGACACCCATCCAGTCAATTGTGTCAACTTCTTCTAGAAAATCTGCCTCATTAAATTGTGAATACTCTCTTATATACCTATCATAATTATAGCTACTTTGAGACAATTTACTTATAACAATAAAGTTAGGTAGATGATCAGAAATGTCATATATCAGATTTCCACTTATTGTCTTATACTCAATAGTATTTAAATAAATATTGTCTATTAGAGTTGCAGAATGATCTGTAATTCTGGTAGGTTGGATTATATGTGGTTGAAAAAAGTAAGATATCATAGTATTAAAAAATTCTTCAGTTGGGCTATGTGATTCAAAATTGAGTAAATTAATATTAAAATCTCCCATAATTATACAATTTTTCTTTTCATTCGAAACTTTATCAATACATGATGTGAGATAATCAGTAAAGTTTTCAAGGTTACTGCTAGGATGTCTGTAAATTACTGAACAGATTGTATTAGTTCGCTTTGTACAGTGAATTTCAATCCACAGACATTCAAAATCCTCTGTAGTAATAGATACAGGCACTCCGATATATTTATCTATCTATCATAAAAACTTACTTCATGCAAGTTGGATACTGTAGGTCTTGTTGCAACATGCAGTGAAAGGAATTGAAGCTTGTCTAACAACCACGCTGTTCGTTTAGATGGGTTTTTGCGGGCACTGCCACTTGCAGGCTGTTTTATAGCTTTCGTATAGTTATTGTGAAGCAATCTCAATTTGTTTTTCACCCAGTCAACACTTCATTTTGTGCATAACATTCTAAGACTGACTTTGGGACCGGCCATTATTTATGGCAGGGGGGGGGGGTTGAATAAAAATTCACCAAGCCAAGGGGTGGGTAAAGTAAAAATCATTAAGTCAGAAAATACTAAAATATTTGTATTATTTGTTGTATTAAGATCAAATAAATATCATTTACTTTATATATTGATTTGCAAAGCATTCCATTTGAACCTGCCATAACAGTCATGATAGAGTGACAGAGTTCATATTTGTTGACTTTTTTTTGTTCTCTCAAATAAGTCAATTTATTTTTTAAAAAAGTAAATTGACAAAATCAAGTTAGGCCGGTCCCTTACTTTGGGACTTTACTTGATCTATAGTCTACAGTGGACAAATGTAATTTTAAAATGAGTGCAAACCATAAATACCATTCACAGATCCTAGTGACCTAGTTTAGGCTTATAGTTATCCATGGTGTAAAGTTGGCATGTTGCGCGGAAGATCTTCGGCATGGCTCCTTTGTCTTCACTCCAAATTTGGCGTAAAAATTAGTTTAATTTTTGGCATACTTTTCTGGCGTGTGAAGACACATCGAAGATTGGAAATGATAATATAGAGAGTTTTTGTAAACAAAACTTGCAGTGTTGCTACTGTTGCACAAATTTACCAAAGTTTGATTAAGCCAGGCGCGCACACTGCGATTTTAGTTGGCCGATTTAAGGTTTAGGTGTATGATATTGGCAAATCTGGCGATATAGATGAGCCCACAAATCCTATCACTGATGGTTTTTGCTGAAAACATCCATCTAAACCTGAATCGGCCAACTAAAATCGCAGCTAAAATATATATATATATATATATTTTTATATATATAAAATCACTCTTATAGTCATTCTCTTCCACAGGGGGAAACAATGGCTGGAACAACGAGGATAATATCACTGTATATATCGAGAACGCTTACCTAATTTATATACACTTCACTGAAGACTGGGAACTTATATAAATGGCTCTTTGTCAAGTGGGGATAATTTGTGGACCAGAGTATGTATGCCCCAAGTATGCAGCTCATCCAGGAAATAGAGTGGCAATTTACTTCCTCGTTCTGATATATGGCATGGTGTCTGCCGTGGTCATCGTATATAGCTACCTGTCAACAAATAAGAATTTTTGTTGTCACGTCAGGCAACGGTTTATTGTTGAACTGACAGCCGCAGTGAAAAATTGTACTACAAACTTTTGTTTATTAATTGAGACCTATATTTATATCACACAACTATATACATTAGACGTAAATTTGTCTGGTACATACACCTACATACGAAAGCCTTAAACAATTTATCCGACAAAGAACTGACATCTGACAGTTGACTACTAAAACATGATAGATTTCTAAGATCAATTGAACAATGTAAGTTATACAAATGAAGTTCTTACAATCGAGAGAACTTTATTTTTTAACTTATTCTCCAGGTATATACTTATACTTATATTTATATTATAATTTGTTCTACTTCAACAGGAAACCTATATATACCATCACGTCGGGGAAAGAACACTGAGTTAACGTACCTTGGTATATGTAATTCAATCTGGCACGGCAACTTGTGCGCACGTCAGCCTTCGTCATCGAAAGATAGTAGCACCATTCGCTTCCTTTCAGGCTGGCGTGGCATGGTAAGTCTGTTGTGATCATTATATACCTGCCTGGAGATAAGATAGCATGAGAAATAGTTCTTGAAATGTATGGACGTCTTTAAAAACTAATTGGAGTGATAAAACGTCTTCGCTTTTGAAAAATGTGTCAGTCCAAAGTTTACCAATATAACAAAAAATAAATAATTAAGGAGAAATAAACAACAAAACTGTTAACAATGAATAAATTGAAAAGCCCACTTATATCTCTGTTTGCATGACAAGTTGTGGGCACAGATGGGATGTTTAATGCAGGTTGTCCGGTCATAGTTATGTAGATGTACTTTTGTACCCAGTCTTTGCGGATCAATGAAGGCAGGCATTTGGTACAAACCTTCTGACAGCATTTTCTTCGGCTTTTGTCGTAATGTCTTGCTCTTCTTCTAATTGTTTTTTCTTTCCCGAGCAGTTCTTAGTTACAATTACGTTAGTCTTTTGAAATTGCGTTTTTCCATTTATAAAAAGATGTGCCTTCTTCACTGACACCCAGTGAAGATTCATGGATGTCTGATTTGGACGTTGCCTTGGAGAGGTCCTTCTTGTTTTTGTTTCTCGAGTAATTCTTCTCTTAGTAGTTCTAAAGTTCCTTCGTGGCTTGCAAGGTTTTCGGCGCGGGCGGGGGGCACACCGTGTTGAGGCCGTGGCGTGAGAAACAGAGGGGGGGTTTTTTTTTCCACTTTGTCCAGCTTCCAGATGAATTGTAAAAGTTTATATTCTTTCTCACAGTTACGATGTCTTGAGTTATGTAGTCTTTGCGGAGACTCTCTCTAACTCTCTTCTGCTGCATAGGCTATAACTTCGTTTGCATGACAGTAGGCATTATAGCTGTTGATGTACGTTGTTCGGTCAGAGTTCTGTAGATGTTCTTTTGTACCCAGTCTTTGCGGAAGAATGAAGGCAAGCATTTGGTACAAACGTTTTCACAGCATTTCTTCAACTGTTGTTGTAATGTCTTGCTCTTTTTCTAATTGTTTTTTCTTTTTCGAGCAGTTCTTAGTTACAATTACGTTAGTCTTTTGAAATTGCGTTTTCAATTTATAAAAAGATGTGTCTTCTTCGCTGACACTTGGACGATGCCTTGGAGAGCTCTTCCTTGTTTTTGTTTCACCAGGAGTTCTTGTCGAAGTAGTTCTAAAGTTCCTTCGTGGCTTGCAAGGTCGTCGGCGCGGGCGGGGGGCACACCGTGTTGAGGCCGTGGCGTGAGAAACAGAGGGGTTTTTTTTTCACTTTGTCCAGCTTCCAGATGAATTGTAAAAGTTTATATTCTTTCTCACATTTACGATGTCTTGAGATATGTAGTCTTTGCGGAGACTCTCTCTAACTCTCTTCTGCTGCATAGGCTATAACTTCGTTTGCATGACAGTAGGCATTATAGCTGTCGATTCACATTGTTCGGTCAGAGTTCTGTAGATGTTCTTTTGTACCCAGTCTTTGCGGAAGAAGGAAGGCAGACATTTGGTACAAACGTTTTCACAGCATTTCTTCAGCTGTTGTTGTAATGTCTTGCTCTTTTTCTAATTGTTTTTTCTTTCTATGTAGTCTTTGCGGAGACTCTCTCTAACTCTCTTCTGCTGCATAGGCTATAACTTCGTTTGCATGACAGTAGGCATTATAGCTGTTGATGGAGGTTGTCCGGTCAGAGTTCTGTAGATATACTTTTGTACCCAGTCTTTCCAGATCAATGAAGGCAGGCATTTGGTCCAAAGTTTTTCACAGTATTTCTTTGGCTTTTGTCGTAATGTCTTGCTCTTCTTCTAATTGTTTTTTCTTTCTCGAGCAGTTCTTAGTTACAATTACGTTAGTCTTTTGAAATTGTGTTTTGCCATGTATAAAAAGATGTGTCTTTTTCAGTGACACCCAGCGGAGATTCGTGAATGTCTGATTCGGACGACTCCTTGGAGAGGACTTTCATGTTTTTGTTTCTGTAGCAATTCTTGTCGAAGTAGTTCTAAAGTTCCTTCGTAGCTTGCAAGGTCGTCGGCGCGGGCGGGGGGCACACCGTGTTGAGGCCGTGGCGTGAGAAACAGAGGTGTTTTTTTTTTCACTTTGTCCAGCTTCCAGATGAATTGTAAGAGTTTATATTCTTTCTCACAGTTACGATGTCTTGAGTTATGTGATCTTTGCGGAGACTCTCTGTAACTCTCTTCTGCTGGATGTCTTGATAACTTTGTTTGCATGACTGTAGGCATTATAGCTGTTGATGGAGGTTGTCCGGTCAGAGTTCTGTAGATGTTCTTTTGTACCCAGTCTTTCCGGATTAATGAAGGCAGGCATTTGGTCCAAACCTTTTGACAGCATTTTCTTCGGCTTCTGTTGTAATGTCTTGCTCTTCTTCTAATTGTTTTTTCTTTCCCGAGCAGTTCTTAGTTACAATTACGTTAGTCTTTTGAAATTGCGGAAGGCTGTCGCATGTGATCGTCGTCGACCGGATGTTCCTGCGTAGATGTGCTGCTCTCATTGCGCGTGTCCCATGGTCTAAATGGGAACTGTCTGGTTTCACCTGGAAGCTGGAAAGAACCAGAATGTGCCTGTTTCGCCCGAACCATTGCGTCGAACACATCTTTGTCGAGTCCTCCGTCCAGGATGAGAAACGTATGACCCTCTTCGGCAATGCGTTCCGCCAGCAAGATACATTCATCACCATCGTTTTCCTCAACGTATACATCGACCAATAGACGATCATACTTGTCAAGGTCGTGCGCCGGGAGGCCAGACTCGTCCATGGGAATACGGAAGAACACACGGTGACTATTTGCGAGTATGCGCTGCGCGCAACGCATGCTCTCAACTCCCGAGTGGTATTGTTTGAAGAACCTGTCGTCTGGTGGATGTGCCAACGTGCTCGCCATACAACCGGAAGGCTGTCGCACGTTCCAGCACGTCGTTTCCCATCGTGCGAAAGCGGATGGTGTTGTGCTGCCGATACCTGTGCGTGATGTGTGCTAGTAGTGCCTCGTCCGTCTCCTTGTCTATGACCAAATGGTCAGAGTTACCATCCAGCATTGCGACAAGATCGCAGGACACCTCGGCCATCTCGGCACGTATATGCTTAAATGGAGTGCATCTGAGCCACTGCTCCGGGTAGTCCTCGTAATCCGCTGCAACCCTTGCAGATACCATTTCATGTATCGCCTGGTGCAAGCCTGGACATCAGTTGATGTGGCCAACGACAGCATAGGAGGGGACATCTTCGGTGTAGAGGCGAAGAAGTACTCGCAGTTTCTGAGCGTCGTTCCAGACAGTCCCCGGGAGAACTTCCTCACCATCTGCGCCCACGGCTCAACTCGTACGCAGTGCGACGGTCTTCCCTTGACTTCCCCCTGCCCGCAGTCATCATCATACTGGAGGATGGCCTCGCAAGCTCCACATTTGCATTCCTCCAAGTGGCGGCAGTACATCGCATATGACTTTGCATCCAGCAATGCGACAAGGTCGTCGAGCACTTGCTCCGGTGCAAAGCCATTTTGATCTCCAACTTGAAGGACCTCCTGCACCAAGTAGCCGGTCATATGGGCCGCTTGGTTCGCAAAGCCGTTGGCTAGGCTGGCGAACTCGAAGAAAGCATCAATCAGCCGTGGGTCGCTTGCAATCTTCGGCATCGATCGAAGTGCACGCCATTTATCCCGCAACGGCTCCTCAAAAGATTCTTCAAGCAGTTGCCACCCGCGGAGATCTTTCTTCCACAAAACTAGCTCATGGGGATCGTAACCTTCCTTGTCCGTAACGCCGGCGAGCTCCTTGAAGTTCTCGATCCGCTTCTTCTTGTTGAATTCATCAAGGACCTAGGTACACATTTAGATAGAAGCGATAGAAACATTATATTTTGGTGTCCTGCGTGCAATTAAAGATATTCACGCCATTTGACTAGTTTGAAACGTTTTATAAATAGTTTCACGGCGCAGCACAATTTCTTAAGGTGACTCGGTATAGTAATCAAAATTTGGTCTGCTGACCTATACGTTCATATTTTGCATGGCAATGCCAAACGACTTTCATTCTACATAGAATTTTAAAAAGAAACCCTTCTGCAATGGCAAAATGTGTAGGCACTACAGAATTTTTGTTATACTCCAAGTAAAATAAAGCACGAAAATATTAAAACTTGTGGGTGACCACCATGTCTATTTTCCAACAATACGAGACCATTTTGAACGAACAAACTGCTACTAAAATCTATTTGTTTGAACACGTGAAAGTTACCGGCATTTTTGAAAATTAAGTGTATCGAGCCACCTTAATTAAATGTGTAACAAGACACATTTGTTATATATTTGAAGTTCAATGTAATGTAATTAACTGACCTGTGCCCGTGGTGTCTTTCGGGAAGGTTCCCCCGTAGGTGGTGGTGTCTGTGCACGTGGCGGTGGTGGTGGTGGTAGTGTTTGTGGTTGGGTAGGAGGTGGTGTTGGTGGTAGTGTTGGTGGCGATGGCGCCGGTGGTGGTGCATTCGCCATTCCTTTTTGGCGCCTGCGATGTTTTTGGCGCTCAGTGACAACACATTTCCGTGCTATCCCTGGCCCACCCCTGCCTGTCCTGACACGTCGTCGTTTTGGCGCCGTAGGATTGTCGGTGGCTGTAGTGGTAGTGGTGGCGGCGGTGTTTTGGGTCGTTGTTGTACCTGACCTTCTGTTGCCATTCGCTGGCACACCTGCCTGTAGATCCGGCCGGATCTGTTGAACCGGTAGGATTCCTGCGAGTAGATAATTAGTCTTACCATGGATAATAAAATAAATGGATAGGAAACTAGCTGACGTGATCTAATGTTTCCAATGGGCTGATGGGCGTGATTGGATGTTGAAACCTAGTTGCAAACCAAATTCTCAAAAACGGCATGTTTAGCAATAATACACCTAAACATTTTAGTCAAAGAGCAAATGAATATAACTACGCCATTCTACGATGAAATCTCTAAGTATTCCCAGTCAATTTTAGCAAATATTTCAAGCACTACAAAAAACAAAGACGAAAAACATTCACCTTGAATACTTTGTCATGGCTTAGGCATGTTTTTAAAACAATTAGTGTAGCGAAACAACAAAAATGCCGAGAACTTTGCAATACGCGCGACGTCACAGATTGCAACTACATTGTCTTTGCTTATGTCAGCTAGAATCGTATCCATTTATTTTATTATCCATGGTTTTACGCAATCGATCTTGTGCATAATGACGTCACAAGGCTTGCTGCCCGCACAGAATGCTGGCAAAATGTCATCGGCCGGGAAAACTTCGATAGTGGCCATTTTGAATTGTTTAATTTTTTTACTACTGAGACCAGCATTCCTCGCAGACATCCAGCCTTGTGACGTCATTATGCATGCTAGTTTGGTTGTATAATTAAAGATGATGTCCACTCCGTCCTGCGCATCTGTTCTGCTTATAACATCATTAACATTATAAATATTGTGCCCAAATTTAGCATCTTTATAATTTATGTTCATTTACAAGTATGGCGAACCAGAAAAGTGTTAGATATCCAGTTCGTTTTTACAAATATAGCAGTTCAAAACGTGAACAAAGTTCGCGCATGTGCACAGGAGTGGACGTCACCTTCAATTAAGATGTCTTGACATGAACAGTTTTCGATGAAACTATTTTGATTCAGCGAAATTCTTCAAATTCTCATATGAGTTCTATTTATTAATTCATACGTTGATCTTTCCGTACCGAGCCACCTTATAATTATTAATATTGTGAGTTCTCTTCATGCACTTTATACAATTAGTTTGGTTTTGAAGAAAGTTACCTACCATCACGCTGGGTGAATAGGGAGCGGTAAAATTCGGCGAGCCGATCTCCCAACTGTGTTGTTACGGTATGCTCGTGCTGACAGCGTATCGCTTCGACGAGAAACTCGCACACGGCACAAACATACTTAACCGTCATCTCTTCCGCAGAATTTTCCATCGGAAGAGCGTTGTAGTTACTAAAATAACTGTTGTTTTTTTGCTATATTGTTTTAAATTAAAATCAACTGTGTGATTGTAAAATAAAATAAGCTAAACTAAGCGACTTTTGCTGCACTTAACTGTCCTCGGAGAGTAGTGTAGAAAGGGATCTATATAGGCAGTGGTTGGGTGAAAATTTAAATTTTCGAATGGAGGAGTTCAGAGAATCACCACCACCCATGGATGCAACGGTTGCAACAAACACACGAATTGTCCTTGAACAGTTTATAATTAAATAAATAATGCCACACATATATAATCTTAATATATAACCATGGTTTATTGAACTGCTCTTTCGCAGTTACAAAGACGTCTGAATTACAGAGAGTTTATATATTTTCAAACTAGTACAATTTTATCCAAACAATCTATATAAAATCTAATTTTATGTTTGCAACGAAAGTGGTGACTGCATGAAATAGGCTTTTATTAAAATTAGTTAATAAGTTAAAAATAATTTTTTGATTTTGTGCGATAGTTTTGAGGATATAGGCCTTCAATTAATTAAACAACAACGGCTAAAGCTGATTTTCGCTTGTTTTCCTGTTCCTAATGAATTTCGCTGCTAATGAATTTCGCCTTTTTCCAAATGATCCATTGGTGCATAGAATGTAGTTTGGAGGCCTGTATCGAAATTATTGCACTAAAGGGTTGGGTTTTTTTTCAAATATAAAAAAGGTTTTCCAGCGTCTTTTCAGTACTTCCACAGATCTTGAAAACTTCATTCGGTTTTTTTCTCTAGTAGTACTGATAACGGCTCATAATTACAGTTCTAGTTTGTCACTAAGGGATGATTTGTTCTTTTCATTTTGCTCGTGTATTTTTGACATATCTGATAATTCTCCTATCGGCTAGATTGTCAATGCCAGCTAACTGTGGAGCTTCTAGGTATGTTTAAAGTTTATCGGATAGAATTCCAGGTGTTGATTGCCAAGACCGGTCGATCTGAAGATACTCGATGGCGCAACGAACGAGCGTATTTTACACGCCTTATTGAATATGTCAAGTCTATGTGGGTATAGGTCTTGATTTAAACACACTCCCAGACTGAGTTTATAATTTGACACATGCCATGATGATTGCCGGTACGTTGACAAGAATGTTATGATACACTTCCCTTGGTTTCATCATGGATTGTAAAATAACTGGTATTCAAGGTTTCAGATTTGTAGCTACGAAATTTCCGCGTCGCCAATTGTAACTAAAAGATTTCATGGCGTGGTTATATTCAGTATTTTCTCTTTGACTAAAATGTAGTTTTGCTGTATTATTGCTAAACATTTTGAGAAATTGGTTTGCAACTAGGTTTCAATATGCAACCATGCCATCAGCCCATTGAAAACATTAGGTCACGTCAGCTCAGCTATCCATTTATTTTATTATCCTATGACAAATAGCACATTCATGGATGTCCACAATTTCTTGGTAGGATGTGCGAGTAAATGTCTCTCGTGGTTGTTTCTTCTTTCGATCCTTGCCGGTCTAAAGGTGAAGAATGATAAGAAACTCAACATCAGATTGAACGAGGATCAAAATTTGTTTATGGGGACCAATGAGAATTGAGTGTTTGCAACCAATGGGGAACTTGGAAAATCGACCAATCCGATGGCGCTGTAACCTGAGAGTTCTGCGTCGCGCGTGATTTGAATACTAATTGGGCGCGCTATTCAAGGCGCTACTATTTATATTGCATTACTTTATTAGTCTGGCGTGAACACAAGTTTATAGACTGCCTGCATGAATGTCTTGGTTGGCGTGAAGAAGCAAGAGTTCCACATCGCACAATTAAAGGTTCGTTTCTATAATTTAGCTATAATTTTTTAATTGCCTATATTGACTTGCCTTGTTGTGCGCACGAGTACATTGCGCGTTGCGAGCAGAAATTATTAACCGGACACAGTGTGAAACAAACCTAGTTAGTCTTGTTGGTTTAGAAATTTTAATATCGTAATCTTTATGGCATGCCGATCGTAGCTTTGTCGCGTGCTTCAGTGGACCTTTATCTCCATTAGAATGTATTTTCACGAATGCTGAATAGTCTGCATCATAAAATGTTGCTTTCCTGCCCGGCTTGGCAACTCACAAAATGTGCTCGCGCACCACATCAAACTTTGATCTTAGAGCAGGAAAATATACATTGTACCGCTAAAGGAAAACAGTATATGTCAATTGTTCCCTGTTTATAGAATGTATTTTCACTCTGTCGCGTATAAATGTTAGCCAGTAAACGGCGACAACCGTACCGAGGCGGTGTTTAATTAGACGTTTAAAACTGAGATTGATTCATAATTATTGCACGCCAATTTAGGCGCAAGAAGCTCAGAATTTCCTTTGTGTTCAGATTGTAAGAGACACATGGCGAATATACAGTTGGGTGTGCTTCAACATACATAATATAATTGTCGAATAATTGTGTGCGGGCGTCGTGTGATTTTTGATCGCATGCGACGCCTACACTCTCATCATATATGCCTGTACTGTTTGTGTCCGGCGCGGTGTATTTATTGGCGAGCGAGTGCGGTTTTTTATATCTGTAGTTAAGGTTATCTATTTGTCCATGTGCTGTCGCGCGCAGGTTTCGTTCAGTTGGATATCGATCCGTTCATCGGATATTTGCTAGGCAGGTTCCGCATTCTCTTGTGCTTGGATCGCGAGGGACGTTAGTTAAGTTGTTAATAACTCAATCGCCAAATGACATAAATATATTGTAGTGCACGTGTATATATCTGAACACATTGTTAGGAACTTTCACATTCAGTGCGTGATTTTCTTGTGTGATTGTGTGTGTGTGTGTAACACAATACAGCGAAAACTCGACATGTATACGAGTCGAGTCTCGTGTGATTTTTTCAATGAGATTATGATTGTTTACAACGACCACATTGATTAAAGTTTTACTAGAACTTTCCTGGCGAGTGAGTGTTTTTATTCCGCAGTCAATGTTATTTGTAATAAATGTTTGTAATATACTGACTGTGGCACGCGCGATTGGTCGTTCAGTTACATTTCGCTCACCGGTATCACATGCATATCATGACGTAGACTTTTTTTAAATGATATCAATTTGAGACGACTTTCCCTTCAAGCTCTAGCACAACAGTAGCTTATGACTAATTATTAAGAGTTCTGTTATTTCTTAGTATATATAATATAACTGTCGTGCACGTGTTTCGTTCGGCTAGATTTTGCTCGCCAATTGACAATAGTGAGTACTAATATATGCATTTGATTCCGATCACAAGCCGTGCGCCGTTTCCGACAAGAGTTTTTTTTCAGTTCTCTCGCACAGTATCATTTCATGATACTTTTTACCGCGTGTAGCTTTATATAGTTTGTAAGATATGTAGCTTAGTTTGCACGTGGATAAATCCGAACACATTGTTAGGAAACGTTTCACAATTGCAGTCAAGTGATATTTCTGTCGATTTACAAATCTTTCTCGTAATCATTGTGCCGGTATAATCTACAACCTGGCTTCAACCTGCATTTGAAATCAAGGGTATGTATGTACTCGTGCATGGGCCTCGCTAGGGATAAACTGTCCACACTATATATACTAGTCTATAGCCAGGCTTAATTGCCAAACGTACACAGCTAATTATTAAATTCTAAGCAGAGTACTGAGCTTGAAACTTATGCTCATAATTAAGCTTTGCACGCTTAGAGTTTTAGAGTTTAAGGTTCAGAGAAAAGGTTTCCAAGGGGCAGGCAACCTTTTTTGAAGTGGCTGTATATATTATATAATATATAGTGTCTGCCTTTGCACATGTAATATACCTGAACTCATTGTTAGGCAGGAACTTTCATCTTCAGTGTGTGATTTTCTTCTCTGATTGCGTAAGTTAGAATACAGTGAAATGGTATGCAATATACACACGAGTCTCGTGTGATTTTTTCAATGAATTTATGATTGTTTGAAATGCATCTTAAAGTTATACTATAATTTTCCTGGCGAGTGACATCAGTTTTTTATTCCGCAGTCAATGTTATTTTCAGTTTTTAGATTTCTCTCGCCGGTTCATGATATTGCACGGTATTACATACATGTCATGCCATATACTTTATTTAAGTTGATGTCAATTCAAAAATGACTTTCGCTACAAGTACCTGCATGTTCCTTTTTGCTGTATTGGCTTTTAGTATAGCGTCTAGTTGACATTTCAGACGAACGCGAGTGAATGGCCTGCAAAAAAAAGACAAAACAACGACAATTTCTGTGGAAACGCCTCTGCATGCTCTTCGGTAAAATATATAATATAACTGTCGTGCGCGGGTTTCGTTCAGTTAGATTTTGCTAGGCAATTGATAATACAAGTATACTCTCAATTCCGGTCGCAAGCCGCACGCCGTTTCCGACAAGTTTTTCTCTCTCGCGCAGTATCATTTACTTTATCTTTAGGCGGCGCGGAAATCGTGAAGCTTCTACTAAATCCAAATTTCTAGATATTCCTCTCAACATTCATAGTTAGTTTGCGTAATCGGCTAAATTGCAGAATACCCGTCTACAGGGTGTATCATAAAAAACGGAGTCCTCGCTTCAAATATAAATTTCGAAACGAATATTAAAGCAAAACGTTCAGGTTTACATTAATTTTAAAGCTTAGCCATTCAGCTTTTCAACGGTGGGTTGTTTCGTAAATATAATCCAGAAGTTCGTGAATAATAATATTTTAAGTGATTGCGATTGGAGAGCCAAAAATTTGAGATGCAATAACAAAACCGGTACTTGATGAAAATAACTTATTTTGTCAACAAAATGAGCAAATTGAGGCATTTTGGCAATTGCTTGTAAAAATCAAGTAATAATGGCTTCCAATACACTATTTTAAATTCACTTGCTGACTTCAAATGCGTTATAATACCGGCTGAAGCGTGCCGTTTTACATTGCCGTCAACTTGCTAATTTATATTTACATTACGGCCCGATTCGATGGTGCTCGTTCGGACGATGCATGGACG